GTTTTTTAAAAAAAACTCCTATTTATTCCATTATCATCAAAGACAAAAACAAAGAAGAAAAAAAAAGATAAGACTAACAAATATCCAAAACTAACAACAAAGGGGGAAGAAAAGTGTACCAAAAAAGAAAAAAACCCACCAAATATCTAACATTAAACGTAAGAAAAATACATCTAATATGATACATAAGAAAAAATCCACCTGAGCTGAAAGATACATCAAAAATCTAATATATTCCACTCCCTTACATAACAGGTGCACTAATAGTTATAAACTTCCCCCTTTATATTTAACAAAAATACTATATTACATAAATAAATATCCCTGTTGTGGACATCTATTTAATAACTGAATCAACACACAACATTTGTGTGTGTGTGTGTGTGTACACGCACACACATAGAGAGCCAACAGATTACCCCAAAATTAAAACTAATCTTCAAATGTATTATTTCTGTCTTGATTGGGTAAGGAAACAAGAAATGATCAGGTACTAGCTACCAAAAGAGACATTTTCTATGACCCTTCATAATCTGCTCTTCCTGATTTTGACCTATAACTAAACGATAAACCCTGTTACAAATACCCAATTGATCCAATGAAAATCTGATCCAGATCTTTATCTGTTTTTTTTAAAAATTAAACCAGGTTCTGATTGAAATACATGAATGTAGGCAGTTCTGAAATTAAATTTCTGATGAGTCGTATGCCTCTAAGCCAGTGTTTCTCAACCTTGGCAACTTGAAGATGTCCGGATTTCAACTCCCAGAATTCCCCAGCCAGCGAACGCTGGCTGGGGGATTCTGGGAGTTGAAGTCCGGACATCTTCAAGTTGCCAAGGTTGAGAAACACTGCAAAGCAGAAGGGATAAATAGAAACCCTCACCATTTTACTGGAGTATTTAAAACAATTTTTAGGGGAGTTTAAAATGGACCTGTCACTAAAAAGTTCAAAGATATCCTCCAGCGTCTCCTTTTTCTCCCCCCCCCCTACTATTGTTTGATCTTCTGGATTAATTTTATATCTTACTTTCCTGGACAGAGACGCTCCATATGTGGCATCCCATGATGGATGTCTTAACTTAAGGGGGCCAAGCTGATATTTGTTTATTTGCCTGGCATCTGAGTAACTCTGCATCTCTAGGCAGTTCACACAAGTGAAAGCCTGATAAATGGAAGAGCTTTGCGCTGGCTGAACAGATGGATGTGTTGCAAAATAAGAGAGTGCAGGGATGAGATCTGGAAATGGCTGAAGAATACAGTTAAAGTCAGTCTCTGCAGAGGAATATTCTTCTGGAAAAACACAACACAGAAACCACTGGAATCCTCCCAGCATCTTGAGAATGGGATCCTTTGCCAGGTTACATATTTGCAGGTAGTCCTTAATTTATGGCCATAACTGGGATCAGAATTTCTGTTGCTAAGCAAGCCAGTTAAGTGAGTCATGCCCAATTTTACAATAGAGGATTTTAAAAAATCTTCTATCCTTCCACCTTAAATAGACAGTCCCGCGTTTCACGTCCATATAATGTGACTCCTCCCTACTTGCTTTTTAAGAGGCCTTTGGTCGCACCCGTTCTATTGCTACATACTGTCTCATGTTCTTATCACGCTTGCCAAATCCACCCCTGGTTGTCCTTTTGATCTCTACCTTTCACCTGACACCCATATATGCTCGTTACTGTTCCCCTCACCGGGGTAGACCATCTAGTCCGGGTGGAGCTATGTTCTTGGCCTAGCCCAGTGATGGCTAACCTTTTTTGGATCGCGTGCCAAAAGCGGGGGGAGTGCAGGGGGGAGGGGTCGTGCGCGGGCGTGTCCACACCCATAATGCTATGTGCGTGACCTTAGCACACATGCACGCTCCCCCCCACGAGCGCGCATGTGCACGTGACCAGCCTCCCACTGTTGGTGAACTTTTTCACCATCCCCAGGCTCCAGAGGCTTTCTAGGAGCCTGGGGAGGGCAAAAACAGCGTCTCACGCCCTCCTGGAGGCTCTGGAGGCCTCCTTGAAGGAAGGAAAACAATCTTAAAAGAAGGCTGAAGTCAGCTGGCGCGCTCTGGAGCTGACAGGGCAACACCTCGCGTGCTCTAACACATGGCTTCGCATGCCACCGGTGGCACGCATGCCATAGGTTCGCCATCCCAGGCCTAGCATATTCCTTATATGGATACATTCCTTAATGCTTGTAAGACATATTTTTCTCTAATCCCAAAATTTCCACAATGTAATTATTATAAATTTACCGCAGAAAGCACTTTTTTAACACCCCAATTTTCAATTGTTTTGCCACCGTTGTTAAGTAGATCACTGCAGCTAAGTGAATCACATGGTCATTAAGAAAATCTGGTTTCCCCTCCATTGATTTTGCTCGTCAGAAACTGACTGGATAGGTCATGAATGGAAATCATGGACACTGCAACTGCCGTACATTCATACTGGTTGGAAAGCACCTGAAAATTTGTTCATGTAAGTGTGGGGCTGCTGCAATGGTCATAAGTGCAAGGACCAGTCATAAGCCCCCTTTATCAGTACTGTTGTTACTTCAAACAGTCACTAAATGAATAGTTGTAAGTCAACCTGTAATCACTATGAACCAATTGCTGGCAAATAAAATCCATTTGGTGATTATATTGCAATTGATGTATTTATTTATTAATGGAATTTAAATAGCCACCCATCTCATTGGAAGTGGCTCTGGGGCAATGTACAACAATGTACACATGTAGTCCTCAATGTACAACAGTTCACTTAGTGACCGTTCAACGTTACAACACTGAAAAAAGTCACTTATGACTATTTTTTGCACTTATGACCGTTGTAACATCCCCATGGTCATGGGATCACAATTTAGACACTTGTCAAGTGACTCATATTTATAATGGTTGCAATGTCCTCGAGTCACGTGATCACCATTTTGGGACCTTCTGACAAGGAAAGTCCATGGGAAAGCCAGTTTCACTTAACAACCGTGTTATTAACTTAATAACTGCAGCAATTCATTTAACAACTGTGACAGGGAAGGTTGTAAAATGGGGGCAAAATTCACTGAACAAACATCTCACTTAGCAACGTAAATTTTGGGTTCAATTGTGGTCGTAAGTCGAGGACTACCTGTATATGTAACAATATTATCCATGCATTTATACATTGTGTGTAACAGTTTTATATAACTGTGATGGTGTACCTATGGCATGGGTGCCATAAGTAGCACGCGGAGCCATTTGTTAGAACACGCGAGGCGTTGCCCTGTCATCTCCAGCTGACCTGTCCTTCATTTTCAGTCATTTTTCGCCCTCCGGAGGCTAAGCCTCCATAGGGCTTAAAACAACCCAACTGCCAAATCAGAAGTTCAGGGACGGACTTTCAGGCTCGTAGGGGCGTTTTTTGCCCTCCGGGGGGGAGGGGCAGGAAACCATTTTCGCCCTCCCTAGGCTCCTAGAAAGCCTCTGGAGCCTGCGGACAGCAAAAACAGGTCCATCATGCGCCAAAATCGGGGGGAGGGTTGGGGTCACATGCACATGCGTGGGGGGGTCATGCGCATAGAATTATGGGTATGGGGACGCCCATGCACAATCCCACTGCACTCCCCCTGCTTTTGGTAAGCGATGGCAAAAAGGTTAGCCATCGCTATTATATAGCTTTCTAGATTTGCTGGGGCAAAACTTTCTGGATTCAATAACCATGTTATTGTAATCCTAGCCCATCTGGAAGGCTTCAGATGACCATTGTTTTAGGAAAGGAACAATCTCCCGGTGCTTCTGATGACCAGACCTTGGAGGAAGAAACATGGCGTGCCTCTGCCATCATGTTCAGCTTGTGCATGTCTGAAAAAGTAATTTGGGATATAAAGTAATGGAACGCATGAATCTTTAATCTAATGCCTTCTGCCTCCATTGACTAACCAGATGCCTCTGAGAATCCTGTATAGGTTTCTCCAACTTCTTCATATAGATGCAGAAATAGTGTCACAGATGTAAAACTATTATGAAATGATAAAAATGAGCGTTATATAAAAATGCTGTCTCTCTCTCAAATCAAGACTTAGTGAAATTCCTCAGTATAGTAATTATTTCCTGGACATTCATTAACTTATATTTCCTTTTACTAAAAAAGAAAAAAACCCTACTTAATCCCTTTCAAATGTATTCCTATGAGAAATTTAAAAGCATTATAATCTATTTTAATTAAAAAAAGGAAATAGTGGAACAGAGATTTTGAATGGTTAAGTCATTATGCAGGTCAATGTAAAATTACGAACAAGGCATTAGCTATCTAAAAGAACTGGAGCAAAATTAACCAAATGTTAATTGCTTGCTTTCTCTAGTTCAGAATGTCCTTCTTTCCCACAGTTCCATATTTCAATCTGATCTTTAACTTGCAAAAGTGGCACAATCATATGCAAGAAGCCTATTTACTTTGCAGATGCTCTATGGTAAATAAATAAATAGATTGATTACTTGGGCACATGTGTTACTCCCATTCTATAAGAATTCATCAGTCTGATTCAGAAAAGTAATCCAGTTTGGTTCAAATTAATTTGGAAAATGATTCAGGTCCACTCAGCTTAAAACTCAATTGTTGAATCGGCTCTGGGTCATTTACAGAAGCATTCAACTTGTTTGAATTGATGCAAAGCCACATAATTAGATTCAATAATCAATTCAGTTTGGAGAACTGATCAAAATCATCCTTGTTTTGAATCTCTGCATCAAGTACTGTATTTGCATCCATCTAATGGCTGTCATTTCCAGATCTGTGTAGGTTCCTGCTTTGATATATTGTTTTCCAGATGATGTTGTCTTTATACAGTTCTGTTCCCAGAAACTGCCATACTACAATTTATATTCGTGCATTTGACCTTAAAGTGTAAAAACACAATGCTATAGGGAAGAAATTTATATTTGAATTTCTGCAGTGCCAGATTCTTTCGTTTTATTCATCTCTACTATACAGAACTACAGAAAAAAAACCAGGACAAATTTGGAGAGGGGAAACCAAAATCAAATTTTGATAGAGTTAGGCTGGTTTTCCTCTTAAATGCAGATATTCTGTTATGAACTATCAAAAAAAGCAAATGGGTCAAAGTAAAATATTTTAGGGACACATTGCTATATCTTACTTTTCCCTAACATCATGCATACAAATGCAACCAAAAGGGAAAAACAGGATAGAGCAGATAACAGAGAATGAGATCACAAACTTATTTAAGTCCCTAGAGCAGGAGTGTCAAACTCAAGGCCCAGGGACTGGATCCGGCCCGTGTGGTGCTTAGTTTTGGCCCACAGGGCCACTCTGGAAACAGCAATGGACCGATCCGCGGTGCCTCTGCCAACAAAAACGGAGCTGGGGGGGGGTGCGTGTGGACCCCCAGTCCCTGTTTTCGGCCTCCTGTAGAACTGCCAGCAAAAATAGCTTTTTTGCTGGCAGAGGGCTGGACAAATAAACTTAAAACAAAACATGTTTCCCTTTTTGCATTTGAGCATGCAAGAAGGTACAGGAAAGGAGAAAGAGAAAGACAAAGAAAAAGAAGGAAAGATGGGAAGAGAGCAAGGAAGGAAAAATAAGGAAAGAGAGGAAGGAAGAAGAAAGGCGAAGGAAGAGGGAAGGAAAAGAAAGGAAACAAGAAAGGGAGGAAGGGAGGAACCCCTGACATGAGTGATGTTGAGCTGGCCATGCCCATTCTAGCCACGCCCACCTCAGCCATTCCTACCGCAGCCATGTCCCCCCCCCCCAAGTCCCCCAGAGGTCAAACACAACCCTGATGTGGCCCTCAATCGAGTTTGACACTCCTGCCCCTAGAGCTTCTTGGATATTCTTCCTTTGTATAAAAATATTTTCCAAACTTGACAGAAATAAGACGCAGAAAAACACGTAGAAGTCAAAAGAAGGCAGAAAAAGAGTTCTGAAAGTTGCTTTTCCTGAAATAATAGATGAGGATGAAATTATATTGGGAATGCAGTTAGAGATAAGACATTTAGTTGGAAGCCATTTGCTCAAAGCAGCACAGCAAAGATGGAAATATATAAAATTCAGGTTAAATAAAGACAGAAAGAAAAAAAGCCCAAGGAATATGTGTATTCTGGCACGCGACTGGCCGACTGTGCTTTTGACATATTAAGAAATTTGGCTGGGAAGGTGAAAAGGCACTTTAAAGGCAGGTGTTTCTTTTCAAAATAGAAAAAAAAATAGAACAGTCTTCTTTAAACAGAATCCTTTTTAACTTTTTTTCCTCCTTTCCAGCATAATTAGCTTATATGATTTAAGTTCCGATTTAAGAAACCAACTATCTTCCTTAACTCCATTCCTCAGACCATTTGAAATTATTATTTTACTGACTATTTTTGCCAATTGTGTGGCCTTAGCTATCTATATCCCCTTTCCAGAAGACGATTCCAATGCCACCAATTCCAATCTGGTAAGTCTTGGTTTATGCTTTATGACTTTGGCAGAAAAATGATCCTATTCGGAACACAAGAAAAAACGGCGTTTGAAAGGTTGAAATGCCATGTTGTAGTCACGGATATACGCATGGATTTCGGGCAGTAGAGTCTTGGATTGTTTGATTGTTTGGATTAAACCTCACTTTTGTGTTTTGTGTATGTGTTGTTGGAACATTGCCTGTGTTCTTTATATTTCTTCAAGCAATGGAGGATTATTCATTTTAGCTAATAAACAGTCTTAGTGTTAAGTTCAAATGTTTCACAATACGACTTGTGGTGTATTTGATGTATGGTAATTGATTTTTCCCCTTTCTTCTTTTGCTTGAATTTCTCTCTCTAAATGCAGTGGCAGTGCCATTGGCTCAGTGTGGGCAATGCTTATTATAGAAAAGAAGGAAAATACATTTGCATCTCAGTTTTCAAGTATGTAGAGGCAGTCCTCAACTTACGGCCACAATTGGGACCAGTATTTCTGTTGCTAAACAAGGAAGTTGTTGAATGAATCAGACCAAATTTTACAACTTCTTTTGCCATAGTTTTTAAGTGCATCATGTGGTTGTTAAGCAAATTCAACTCCCCCCCCACCCTCCTTGACTTGGCTTCTTGGAAATCCACTGGGCAGATGATGACCTAACCTTGGGATACTGCCTTTGTTGTAACTACACTCTGGTTGCCAAGCACCTGAATTTTCGATCATGTGACTGTGGGGATAGTGTGATCGTTGTGAATACAAGGACCAGTGCTAAGTCCATTTTTTCCAGCACAGTTGTAACTTCAACCGGTCACTAAATGAATGGTTGTAAGTTGAGGACTACTTGTAATTTCTTCTGAGCAAAAGAAAAAAAAACAAAGATCCCAAAAGCTAGTTTGATAGTAAATTTTAGATAAGAGACTTAAAGTTGTGGCTGTATTTAAAGTAGTTTCTTGCAGGAAGAATGACAGATCTGTAAACCTATAAAACACCTGTTAAGGATTTCCTTATCATAGGAAGCAATTTTATTTGTAATTTGGTCCCAGTAATATCGAATTGTTTTTGTGAAGACTATTAGAAAGGCAGGATAAAAAAAAAATACTGGAATAATTGTGTCAGTTCAGACTTAATTCTGTCAGCAAGTCAGCAATGTTAAATATTCATGTGCAAATACTGATCAGTGATTACTGATATGGAAATAGGATCTGCTAAATAAAACAGCAACTTACTAATGTATATCGCATACTCTAAAAAAATAGAAAGAAAAACAAGTTACTAAATTTCTTCTTGAATAGACTGAAAACGTGACTGTGATTGTGGGCTTAATCATGAACAATTTGTTAAACTGATTGTGGGAAATTACAGAAAACTACACTATTAATGTGCTTAATACAATGATTATGTGAAAATTTATAATATGTGTTATAACAAGGCGAGTTGACAGTGGTGTCATATCTAGGCTGCAGAAATCAAGATGACAAGTAGATGGCAACAGAGATATAGCAAAAACTAACTCTTTGTTGCCTTCTAGTGGCTGCCTTGAACATATCAGCCTAGATATAGTAGCAGTAAACTGCAACAGTCCAGAAGTTGCTTGTGAAAGTATTCTAACACTTTTAAAAGCATTGGAAAATGTAGAAAATTAGCTTGAATTTTCTTTGATATCTCTTAGTGTTATTGCTGCTGTTATTTTATCATTAGCGGTGTGTATATATACATACCATATGTTGAACATACCTAATACTCCTCCCTCCTATTTTCTGGTGGTTGGAGTTTGTTTTAGTTGCAAACAATGTTGTATCAGCCACTTGTTTATAATTGATACCTAATGATTTGGGCCAGAATATCTGAAAGGCTACTTCCTCCTATTGGAAGATGCTTTTAGCTGACCTTCTTGGTTTCTATTAACCAAATTTCTTTTTGGTAGTAAGAAAGATAAACTTGGTTAAGAGAAACATGGGATGCATTTTCCTTCTGGTGCCATTTCCACAACCTCATCTCCCCGCAACTGTAGAATTTATAACCTTGGGTAAGTTAGCTTGCCATTTTTGTTTACTTTTAAGCAGATCTTAAAACATTCTGGTTTCCCATGGATTTTTGTGATACAAAATGTGTCCATTGTTCTTTTAGTTTTAAAATTATCCTTATTTTTTTCTTAATGCTGCTGTGCATGGATTTTTATTTATTTATTTATTTATTTA